GTATAACATTTATTCTTAAATTCCATTGTGGGGTGGTAGAAAGCAATTTACCATTTTTGCTTCGTTGTTACAAAGTAATAACATTTACTTGGTGGACAATGAGGGAATCTTTGGAGTTCTATTGATCATATCAATTATATATAAAAATTATCTTATATTTTTGTGGTATAAAGTGGTTTAAAAAAGCGTTTTTCAGTCTTTTCATCTTTTAAAAATGTGTTAGCTATACATAGTATATATATAAAAATGTTAGGAAAGGCTGAAATTTGGAGGATTCAGTAAAATACTTGTACATATGATATCTGTTCTCATTGCTTTTATTTAAAAATTATTTTCCAATGCCAATTTAAGCATTTATGCAGTTGTTTCTAGACAATTGACATTTTTATAAATGTCTGTGGTTTTTTTTTTTGTTTGTTTGTTTGTTTTTGAGATGGAGTCTTATTCTGTCACTCAGGCTGGAGTTCCATGGGTGATCTCAGCTCCCTGCAACCTCTGCCTCCCAGGTTTGAACAATTCTCCTGCCTCAGCCTCCCCAGTAGCTCGGATTACAGGTGTGTACCACCATGCCTGGCTAATTTTTGTATTTTTTAGTAGAGACGAGGTTTCACCATGTTGTCCAGGCTGGTCTCAAACTTCTAACCTCAGGTGATCCTCCCACCTCAGCCTTCCAGGTGCTAGGCTCATAGGCGTGAGATTGCACCTGGCTAAATGTCTGTTTTCTTAAAGGTTTTAGGAGATGATTTTTAATGATACTGCTGTGTGTTTGTGATTTTTTTGTTTTTGAAACAGTTTTGCTTTTGTCACCCAGGCTGGAGTGCAATGGCCCAATCTTGGCTCACTGCAACCTCTACCTCCCAGCTTCAAGCAATTCTCCTGCCTCTCAGCCTCTGGAGTAGCTGGGACTACAGGCATCTGCCATCATGCCTGGCTAATTTTTGTATTATTTTTTTCAGTAGAGATGGGGTTTCACAGTGTTGGCCAGACTGGTTTCCAACTCCTGACCTCAGGTGATCCACCTGCCTTGGCCTCCCAAAGTACTGGGATTAAGGCATGAGCCACTGTGCCCGGCCTTGTGTGTTTGTAATTTTAAGAGAAACAGGTTAAAAATGTACATTTATGGAGTTTCCCTTTCTTGAAAATTTTATAAATGTTACTAAGTAGCAGCCAAGAATATTTTCATGGTAAAGTCTTTTTAATGCTGCTAGTGACAAATGTTAGATGAGATGAAATCAATATTCTTTCTTTTCTATGTTGAAATGAATAGCTATTCATGTTTCAGGAAAAAACAATTGCTTATTTTAAAAGATTAGAAAAGTGTTCCTTTTTTAAGGGTTTAGAATTGTAGCATTAGTCTGTCAACTAAATTATGCATAATTTATCAGAATAATTTGGCTTCAGAGTATTTTAATTTTAAAGTTTTCTCTTTGAACTAATGAAGTACTTTATGTAAACATTTAAAAAGTACACTTAAGGCTGGGAATGGTGGCTCACACCTATAATCCCAGCACTTAGGGAAGGCAGAGGTGGATGGATCACTTGAGCCCAAGAGTTCAAGACCAGCTTGAGCAACATGGTAAAACCCCGTCTCTACCAAACAAACAAAATTATCTGGGTGTGGTGGTGCTTGCCTGTCCTCCCAGCTACTGGTGGGGCTGAGGTGGAAGGGGATTGCTTGAGCCTGGGAGGCAGAAGTTGAATGAGCCAAGATTACCCAGTACACTCCAGCCTGGGTGACAGAGTGAGACCCCATCTCAAAAAAAAAAAAAAAAAAACAAACTACACTTAAGAAACAGACAACATTTTAATTTAGAATATTGTCATTGTTTAATAGTGGTTTCCAGAATAGCTTGGAGAAGTGGTATAATTTAATAGAAACAACACAGGCTTGGAATATCAAAGGATCTTGGTGTGAATCCCAGTTCTGCCACTTATGTGGCATACTTCACCTCCTTTCAGTTTTTGAATCTGTAAAATGAATGCATATTTATGTTTCGAATCTTTTTTGTTTTTCGTTTTCTTTTTTTGTAGAGACGGGGTCTCACTATGTTGTCCGGGATGGTTTTGAATTCCTTAGCTTAAGTGATCCTCCTGCCTCAGCTTTTCAAAGTGCTGGAATTAAAGGCATGAGCTACCATGCCTGGCCAAGCCTAAGGCAGATATTTATTCAGTTTTTAATATTTTTGAAATCTACATGAATCTGAAAATGGTGTATTATATTTAACTGGCTATGTTTTTTCTTTCTGCACATTACTGAAAATAATGGTGCTTCTTATAGTTGAGGCTATCTTAAATTAAATAAAATACAGTGATAATACCAGCTTTATAGACTCGTTTTGAAGTGGAAATTGGATAATATAAGCACATGGAAGGTATTCCTTAAGTACTAGTTTTCTTTCTCTTTTTCTTATAATGAGGTATGTTAGTTTTTATGATTGTTTGGGGATTTGTTGTTTTATCAGGAGAATCAGAAGTTTAGAGCTATTAGGTAAAGACTCATGGGTCAATATTTTAAGTTCTCACATCACAACATCTTGTATCTGTATTGCTGAAACACTTTTACTTCGGAGAAATGGCCATGTTTGGGGCAATAATAATTACTGTATTAGCTAACACTTACATAGTGGTCACTTTGCACTGATTACTGTTCTATTTATGTATAAATTTAAGTCCTTAAAACAACCGTATGAAATAGGTACTGTTATTCCCATTTTTACAAATGAGGAAACTCAGGAAAAGAAGTTGATTAATTTTCCGAGAGTTCAACAGTTATACTACAAATGAATTAAACCAGTAAAACAAATCCAAAAAAGTAGCACACAGAAGCAAGAAACCTCTTTGCATAGATTAGCCTGATAATCTTAGGAATACTTTTTCAAATAGAAGAAAAAGTTTCACACAGTTTTAAATATTAACTCTAAAACACTAAGGTGGAGTCTGAGTCAGGTGATAAAGATTTAGCCAACAACTTATCCTTTCCCTTTTGAGTGAAGGAGCATTTTAGTGTTTCAACTAATAGAGTCTCAGGCAAAGAACTGGCAAATTTTATCCTGTTGGCTGCCAAATTGGACTCTATTTAATTGCTGATGCAACATAAAAGTGACTTAATGGATTCTGAGTAGAGAGAAATGGAATAAACTTCTAAGCCTCTATGAGAGAAATTTCACGGGAGTAGAAGAGGGTAAAGTAGCCAGAGTTTACCCACTCTGGTAGATGAAGTGGATGGAAAGAAAAACTAATAAATCTTTAGCATCCTTTTCTGGATTCAATCTGATAATGGCAGGTTATTTTTAAAATATTGTTTCTGCCTAAGATACAGTCCCCCCACCCCTCAACAAAACATTCTGACCAGCATTTTAACATGTGTATTTGTGGATTTGCTTTAGAAAGAGGAACTAGTCCCAGGAAAGGGGAATGTATTTAGAATATATCATAATCAAATTATGGGGACAGGTTTTTTTCCTAAATATTTTAATTAAAAGTACTTTATTTCTTTTTTTGTTTGTTTGCTTTTAAGAGATGGAATCTTGCTCTGTTGCCCAGTCTGGAGTACAGTGGTGCAATCTCAGCTCACTGCAACCTCTGCCTCTGGGTTCAAGCAATTCTTCTGCCTCAGCCTCCCAAGTAGCTGGGATTACAGGTGCCTGCCACCATGCACGAATAATTTTTGTATTTTTAGTAGAGATAGGGTTTCGCCATGTTGGCCAGGCTGGTCTTGAACTCCTGACCTCAGGTGATCTGCCCACCTCAGCCTCCCAAAGTGCTGGGATTACAGGTGTGAGACACTGTGCCTGGCTTTATTTCTTATGCTTAAAGATATTCATTATGTCTGTTTATGAATGAAAAAGTGAAAATAGATTAATATACAACTGTCAGATAATGCTTAAGTAAATTATATTACATTACTACAAGGACTGTTATGCTGGGTTTAAAGTTAATGTTTGTAGGACTTCTGTTCCCGGGAATGGTGGAGTAATAGGGACGGGATTTACCCTTTTGCCAAAAACAAGAAGAAAACCAGATGCATGGCTAAAATTACTGGATAAAACAGTAATTTTCAGACATTGCATTATAAGCAGTGTAAAGTTACAAAATCAGGGAAACAAACAGGCTGTGCCTTACAGGTGCCTCTGTTTATTATCTGGCACCATTTTCCAGGCTGCAAGGAGAGGGAACCCAAAATGGCCTGGCAGTCTCACCAATTTGAACTAGAATTTGCAGGGCTGAATACCAGAGAGGATGCTCCTTTATTAACAGTTTCAGGGATCTGCAGAGGGATCCTTTGGCTGAATACTAATCTATGCATGTATAAGAGGAAACTATTAATAACAGGGAGTTTTGACTTTTGCAGGGTGTCCTGGCCCAAAAGCTGTCATTACATGGGATTTTGCAGAGGTTGCACTTTGATCCCTACAGACAGTATTATCCAGGTTCATTGTTTGTACATTACATGTTTTAGAAGAATCTTATTACTAAATTAATGTTGTTATTGTGTTTTGAGAACAGCATAGAGGGGCAAGACCCATTGAATCCTTGAGTTTGGAAAGTATTTCTGTGCAGTTTGCTTCTTTTTTTATTTGCCGTCTAAACCTCCTTTTCTGTCTGTCTTCTACCTTTTCTCCTTCATTTTTTTAAACCTAAAAACATTTTCTTTATAATTCAGTTTGAACTCTTACTATAATGTAGCTTATTTCTTATTTGGGAACTTTAATTTTATAAATCTAGATATGATTTTGCTAGGAGAATTGTTTTTTTGGTGGCTCCAGAAAGTTGTACTGGGATACTTTAGATTGCCAGCAGGTACCCATTCCCCTCCTGTGATGACCTGAGAGTCCTTTTGCCTTTCTGTTACCACTGTAAAAATTTTTACTAGGGTTTGAAGAAATGGTTGAGGGTAAAATCCTTAGTCTTTCTTGGCAAAATAACATTTTTAACTGATTTAAATACACATTGTTTAACCCATTTGTCTTTTTTTTCACGTTTTTTCCCCCTTCCCACAGGTACCAGAGAAGAAAGGAAAAGAAATAAATACTGGCTTTGGTGGGCCGGTTATTAGTTCTCTATATCATGAAGAAACCATCAGGTAATCTGTCTTCTGATCTTTGATAATTGGAATATATATATATGTATGTGTGTGTGTGTTTGCATGTGCTTATGTATATATGTACTATATATTTTTAATTTTGAAATCTTCAATTTGCGAAGCATCCTTTCTTAACATGAAACTGATGTGGTGGTATTTGCAAGCAGGACAATAAATGACAGGAAATAATGTTTTAGGCGTATAATCTTTAAAATCAATTAAATGTCTGAATCAGTGCCAGATAAGTGTGTGAATAAGTGATAATAATTGCTTTTCATCAGTGTCTAATAATAAGTCTCATTCAGCGACTTTTCCCTACATAAGTAGTTGGCGAGGCTAGATTTTGTGTCTCAATCTAAAACTAAGGATTTTTATGTTAATTTTCCTCAAAATACTATTTCTTTTACAGATTTTAATTTTTATAATTTGTTTAATTAAAAGTTAATTTAATTTGCTCCAAATTAAAAGTCATTTTGGAATATAAAATGATACAGCCACTGTGGAAACTGAAGTTTCCTCAGAAAGTTAAAATAGAATTACCATATGATCTACCCGTTCTGCTTCTGGGAATGTATCCAAAAGAAAGCAGAATCTCAAAGACATATTTGCACACTCATGATCATAGCAGCACTCTGAACAGTAACCAATAGGTGGAATCGTCTGTTGACAGATGAATGTATAAACAAAATGTAGTATATACAATGGAATATTATTCAGCCTTAAAAAGGAAGGAAATTTTGGACCTTGAGGACATATGCTAAGTGAAATAAGCCATCACAAGAACACACCTTGTGATTATACTTACATGAGGTATTTAGAGTAGTCAAATTCACAGAAACAGAAAGTAGTCAAAAATCAGAGAGAGAGTAAAATGGTGCTTGCCAGGAGCTAGCGGGTAGGGGAAATGGGAACTTGTTTAATAGGGACAGAGTTTCAGTTTTGCAAGATGATAAAGTTATAGAGATAACACAACAGTGTGAATACTTAACACTATGGAACTGTACACTTAGAAATGCTTTAGCTTTTAGTTTTTGAGAGTGAGGATCATATTTTACCCATCTTTGCATTCTTACTATCTGAGGAAAACCCCCAAACTTAGTAGATGTTCAATGAAAGTGCTCAGAACTTGGGAGGTAGCTACCGCTGCTGCTTTTGAAGGAGCTGATAGTTTAGTGACTATTGCTTATATAGGGTTAGCCTGATAACCCTATGGTAAAACAGAGCTGCTGGTTTGGTTCCTCTGTGATATGCCCATCCTAACCTTTCCCTTAAGCAATAAAAAATGTATAGGCTATTTTTTTTTTCCTAGTTAGATAAATAATTTGAGATCGTTTCTTGACTTTCCTTTAAAAAAAAAATCACTAAGCTTAAGTTACTAACAATATCAATCCTTATCTATAAATAATAATGATCTTTATTTTGTATGCCATTTTCCTTAAGGGCACCCAGACTCTAGTATTTTTCAAAATGACATACTGAATACAGTTTCTTTTAGAATGTCTGATGACATGACTGATCACAGTAGCTTTACAGAACATGAAGCAAATCAAATGTACTCCAGTTGTAGTGAGAGTAGAAATCCTGAGATAAAGAGTTAAACTGTGTTGGAAGGGTTAATCTTCCTTCCTTTATCCCCCTCCCAATTGCTAGTGAAGTGACTCTTAGATTTAAATCAATATTTAGAATTTTGACTGTGATAGACAATGACAAAGAATAATATAGTTTATAGAGATTTTAATTCAGCTCAACATACTTTTATTGAATCTGTAATGACACAATACATTGTGAATATTTGTGCTTCTCAGCATCTTCACTTTTGAATATTTTCTTTTGGCATTTTTATGAAAGTATATTTAAGAAATATTATTAATTGAATGAAATGTGAACCTTCGCTGTGGGCAAAACTGGTTAGACTTGGCCTTTTTTTCATGAAGTCTTCATTAAGTATTAGTCTTAACAATATCTGAATCTTCATATTCTGAACATACTGTTAAGAAAGAGTAAGAAACAATGTGAACAAGCCACTGAAAGCCTTTTAAGTATTACAAACACAGTAATTTTGTTACCGCTACAGCAGATCAGAAATTACAGGAACTAATTATATTCTTGCATTGAGAGAGTTCTTTTTATAGTGTAATAGAATTCCACTGTAACAAATTAGGCCATAATGAAAATTGTTATGTACTGAAATGTTGGATTATTCCAGTGAAGGACTAGATCTAGCCCCTATGGTTTCTTAAGTATCAGAATGCAGTTGCAACAATGAAAATGGTCTGTTTCTTGAAGTTACATAGTCAAATCATGCTTGTATTTTAGTGAAATATAATGTCTGGTGTCTTATTTTTTTAAGAGAAAGTTGTGCTTTAATTGATGTTAATTGCAATTTTTTGGGAGAATTATGTTCAGCTGAGGTGAAAGTAACAGGTTTTAGAGTTTTAGAAGCATCAAATGGTGAACTTGGATAAAAGCAAAAAATTTTTTCTATAGTACCGTCGTTTTTAAAAAGGACATAAATAGTGTATTTTGAAGGTTTGTTTTGCTACTTTATAAACTCCAGATTTTTTACATTTGTAAAGATTAGACAGTTCAGTATCTAATAAATCCATTTGGTTAAGGTTGGGTTCTATTGTGGCAGCTTTTCTGATTAATGTGTATTATATGATAGATGATGAGTTAGGAGCTTTGGTTTTAAGGTAAATGTTCTTGAGCCAAGGGCCACTGGGGCCATTTCTGAGCGCGCTTTCTGCTTTCCACTCTGTCATAGAAAGTATCAATATAGGCTGGGCGCGGTGGCTCATGCCTGTAATCCCAGCACTTTGGGAGGCCGAGGCGGGTGGATCACGAGGTCAAGATATTGAGACCATTCTGGTCAACATGGTGAAACCCCGTCTCTACTAAAAATGCAAAAAATTAGCTGGGCATGGTGGTGTGTGCCTGTAATCCCAGCTACTCAGGAGGCTGAGGCAGGAGAATTGCCTGAACCCAAGAGGCAGAGGTTGCGGTGAGCCGAGATCACGCCATTGCACTCCAGCCTGGGTAACAAGAGTGAAACTCCATCTCAAAAAAAAAAAGAAAGTATCAATATAATGTCAGAGGTTCAGCGCTCTCTGTTAATATCACAGAGCTCTGACATCAGTTTCTCATTCTGAAGCTACTTAATTGTTCTGTAATATAATTGAGGGGGTGTAGTAGGCTGATTCTAATTAAGTACAAAAAATTATGGAACCAAATTACTGACATTCAAATGCTAGTTCCATCACTTACCAGCTGTGTGATATTGGGCAGTTACTTACCTGTAAAATGGGGATAATTATAGTACTTGTCTCACTTGGTACTTAGCAGATTGTGTGAATGCATACACAGGCATCCTAGAAGAGGATCTGGTATAAAATAAGCTACTATGTAACTGTTAGTTTTTATAATAATATTTTTACTCAGCAGAGGAAGTCCCTACAGAGGAGCAAGGAGCTAATGTTAGGAGCTAAAATATCGTGGCATTCTGGTTATATAATTAAATACAAGTTGTTTGCTTTTGCAAAAGAAAATGGAATACAAGGAAGGGAGAGCCAGTGCTTTTAGAACTATGGAAACGAGAGTAACAAATCTTATAACAGAGTTACCTCTAGTTTTGACATCAGCTGTGTTTTTCATTTATACTGCAGATGGGCAGAAAAAGCACTGGTTGATAAGCATAGGGGTTTGTAGAGTGAAATGGTTCTGCACTACGTATACAAGAAATTGCTTCTGGTTACTTGTATGCTTCAAAGGTTTGATCTAGAAGTTTGCACATAAACTGAGAATTAGAGCAAGAATTAAAAATACAGTAAATGAAGATTGAACAGTACCCACACCACCCTACAATAAGATTTTGGTCCTCCCTGTTATATTTTGTAGTTTGATGTCATGTAATCTATTAGAATTTTATTAATTCCACTTACACAGACAGCCATCTGGACCTTCTCTAAGCAAGACCAGACCTAGTATACAACTGAAATGATTGATGGGCTCTGGAATTGATTAGTTGTTCTGTGAGACAAATGAAGTGTTTTGGCAGAAAATACCAGAGGTCACTGCTTATGGTCAGACACAAAAGCCTCTAGAATTTCAAAGAGATTCTTTCATCATTGACATATAAAGTTTCCATTTTTGAACAATAATGGATTTTGAAAATATTTCCCAAATATCTTTTCATTGGCTGCTCTCTAGTCCTTATTATAAATGGAAGAATATAAGTATAAAAAATTAGAATGAAAGTGATTTTTTATGCTTTAATTTTGTATTCTTGGTGAAATATGAACTAGCTTGGAAGTAGCATAAAACCCTGTCACACATAAATTATACTCTAAAATTTTCCTGAAGGAGATACGATTTGAGAAAAAGCTGTAACATACATAGTTTTATTGTAAATTACTTCTAAAATCAGATGGTATAAAATTCTATTTATCTATTCAAAACTTCACATTGTTAGATTGCAGCCTGTTTTTAACAAATCCACTTAAAGATTCTTAAGCTTCCAGAGTATGTGTTACACATATTTGTGTTTTAAAAAATGAATATTCAGCTTTTTATGCATTTAACAGGCCAAGTCATTCTGGGACACCACTAACCTAATGACACTAGGGCCTTTAGCACCAAAAAGCTTCCCCCCATCTGTTTGGCTGGTGGTGGTGTAATACTTGCCTATTTCACCATGTTGCCTGTGATCAACATTGTGTTAACACCTTGGTGATAGGTGATAAATTGGATGACATATGTCTTGTTACATTCTGGTTATTCTTTTAGGACTACACAAGTGTGTATAGGCAAGTGGGCAACTCCCCCTGGAGAATCTGACTGCTCAGAATGAACTTGAGTTATGGATTTATTCAGCCTGTAAAACCTCAGCTGGCATAAATAATTGAGAAAGCAAAGGTTTGTCTTTGGTGCATACCTCAGGGACTCATGGCTGCCGTCCTCCTCTCTACCTCCCTTTCTTATGAAAATGATTCCAGTTGCACTCC